ATTTTGATATTAGCTGATGTGGGGATTTGTTTAGACACTAGCTCGGGTTCCCCTTCCTCTTTGCTGCAGTTGATCCGTGCTAATGAACGTGCTCAGGCTGATATTGCCAAGGCCAAGGAGGCTAGTGCTGGGATGTCTGCCCCTCTGGTTGTGGCCGGAGGGGCACTGGAGGAGGCTGACAGGGGGCAGGTGCCTCCGGTGCAGAAACGTGGGGCTGGGAAACGTGCTAAAACCTGCAAGGCTCCGTGCAGGTCGAGTCTTAGAATTAAAAACCTCTCCTCTAGATGAAGGCTTTATTTTGGAACATTAGAGGGTTCTGCGCTAGGGGGCGCAGGGACCAACTGAAGGATTTAGTGCGCGCCGAAAAAATTGATTTTATCGGTCTTGTTGAGACCCTTAAACCATCCTTCTCTCCTTCTGAACTTTCGGCTATTGCTGGGATTGATAGATTCAGGTGGAATTTTGTGGCCTCCGTTGGCCAGTCTAGTGGCTTTCTCCTGGGCACTAATAATGACACTTTCGACTTTGTGGCTTTCGACCATGGCATATACTGGGCTAGTATGGTAGTTTCCCTTCGTTCCAATAATACCCTTCTCGAACTTATGGTGGTCTATGGTCCGGCTGACCATTCCCTGTCACAAATTTTCTTGGATGAGATTTTTACTAAAATAGAGTCCTGTCAACTCCCCCTCTTGATTGGGGGTGACTTTAACCTGTTACGCTATCCTTATGATAAGAGCTCTGCCAATTTTTCGTGGGTGTTGGCTGCGGCCTTTAATGCCTTCATCAGGGATACGGCTATTCGTGAAATTCCGAGGGTTGGGGCCCGTTACACTTAGACCAACCGTCAGGCGTGTCCTATTCGCTCGGTTCTTGATAGAGTTTTTATTTGCCCTGCTTGGGATGGCCTCTTTCCTCGGTGTTCACTTCGGGCCCTCCCCATTGTTGGTTCTGATCACGCTCCCCTTATCCTTGACGACGGATTCCGCCCTAGTGGCTGCCAAAGATTCCAATTTGATGCGTCCTGGTTATTAGTGGAGGGTTTTCCTAATATGCTGGCTCAGAAGATCTTGGGCTGTTTAATCTCTCCCCACCGCTCCTTTGGCCCTATGGATGATTGGCATCATGTTTCGTACTTCCTATGCAAATTTCTTAGGGGATGGTCCAAGAACCACTTTGCTGAGGCGAGGCGCGATAAAGTTAGGCTGGGTGCCCAAATTAGTGCTCTTGACAACCGTGCTGACAGTGGTGGGCTCTCGGAGGCTGAGTGGCAAGTTCGGTACGGCCTTGAGAAGACGCTTCTAGAGATTCACCGCCAAGAAGAAGTGTATTGGAAGCAAAGGGGTACGATTAATTGGACTCTTAAGGGCGATGCGCCCACGGCTTACTTTTTCGCCATTGCGAATGGCAGGCGTCGTAGGTGCCTGATCGACAGTCTCATTATTGATGGTGTTAGGGTCTCGGACCCTTCGATCATTCTTCGGCACGTAGTTCAATTCTTCTCTAATCTGCTTGCGGCTAAACCAGACCTCGGATTCTCGCTTGCCCCGGGTTTCTGGGCCCCCCGTGACAGGGTCTCTCCCGCTGATAATGAGCTCCTGCTTATCCCCCCTTCTGAGGAGGAAATCTATGGCACTATTCGGACTGCTAACTCTAACGCTGCTTCAGGCCCTGATGGTTTCTCCATCCCGTTCTTCCGACAGTTCTAGCCCCAACTAAAAGGCCTCATTTCTGCTATCATTCAAGGGTTTTGGCTGGGAACTGTTGACATTTCTAGACTTAACTACGCAGTCCTCACCCTCATCCCTAAGGTCAAGGGCGCGGATCTCATCTCTCAGTTTAGGCCGATTGCTTTAATCAACAACTTTGCCAAGATGCCTGCTAAGGGCATGGCCACTAGGCTGTCTCCCATAGCGCACCGGACCATTAGCCCTTTCCAGTCTGCTTTCATCAAAGGGAGGTTCATCTTGGATGGGGTGCTGTGTTTACATGAGATCGTCCATGACCTGCGGGTGCGAGGGACCAAGGCGGTGGTCCTTAAGCTGGATTTTGAGAAGGCTTACGACTCGGTGAGCTGGAAATTTCTTCGGCAAGTCCTTTTGGCTAAGGGCTTTGAGGGGCCTGTAATGCACCGCCTGATGCAGCTGGTGTCTGGTGGGCACACGGCTGTGGCTGTCAATGGCCAAATTAGTCAGTTTTTTGCTAACAGTAGGGGTCTCAGACAAGGGGATCCAGCGTCACCTTTGCTTTTCAACTTTGTGGCTGATGCTCTTTCTCGCATCCTTTCTCGAGCTGCGTTGGCTGGACATATTACCCCAGTGAGCTCTCACCTTATCCCTAATGGCATCTCTCATCTTCAATATGCGGACGATACTATCATCTTGATGGAGCTCAATGAGAACAGCCTCACCAATCTGAAATTCCTTCTGCTTTGCTTTGAAGCGCTCTCAGGCCTTAAAATCAATTTTTCCAAGAGTGAGGTCGTAGTGACTGGGGTTTCGGACCTGGAGGCGCAGCGGGTGGCCCACCTTCTGAATTGCTCTCTTGGGTCCTTTCCTCTCAACTATCTAGGCCTTTCCATTTCCCCGTTTAAGCTCCTGGCAAAAGACTTCGCCCCGGTGGTCACCAAAGTTGGCAACAGAGTTTTACCTTGGCGAGGTCGATATAATACGCAAGCGGGCAAGGTCGCCCTTACCAATTCATGTCTTTCATCACTCCCTATGTTCTTGATGGGATTCTATCTTCTTTCTAATGGGGTACATTCTGGTTTTGACAAGCATAGGGGTGCTTTCTACTGGAATGCTGCGGATAATAAGCGCAAGTACAGGCTGGTTAGATGGGACATTATATGTCGCCCCAAGGCCAAAGGGGGCCTTGGCATTATCAATATGCGAGTTATGAATAACTGTCTTCTGATCAAGTGGTGGTGGAAGATTATGACTCTTGAGGAACGCCCGACCTGGCTCTCGATCTTAAAAGCTAAATACTTCCCCTCCTTGAGTCCTATGTTTGCTCCTGCTGCTGGTGGGTCTCAATTCTGGCGTCAACTGGTTAAAGTCCGGCCGATTTTTCGGTCTCTTGTCAAGTTTGTTGTCAGGAACGGTAAGTCTACTCGGTTTTGGCTTGACTGGTGGGTCGGGGACTCCACGTTGGCTGTCGCTTTTCCGGCCTTGTTTTCTTATTGCGATGATGCTGAGATTTCTATCTTTGAGCTCTCGGCTAAGGGTTGGGTTTTAGATTTTCGGCGTTCTCTTTCCCCTGTAGAGTTGGAAGATTGGCAGCGCCTTACTGCTTGCTTCCCCCTGCTCTCGGAGGAAGAGGATTCCGTGGTGTGGCCCCTTTCCTCCTCGGGGCGCTTTTCGGTTAAATCGGCTTATTCCAAGCTTATCCCTGGTGGACACCCGGTCAAGTTTAAACATATATGGTCGGCTCGAATTCCTCCTAAGATTAAGATATTTCTCTGGCAAGCTGTTCGTGGTAAGCTTCCGGCGGCTGACCAGATTAAGAAAAGAAACGGGCCGGGGTCCGATAGATGCGTGTTATGCGGGGCGTTGGAGAACACCGAACATATTTTTTTTCATTGCTCCTTAGCAAAACTTATGTGGTGCTGCATTAGACTTTGGCTGCATGTGAACTGGTCCCCCTCCTCCTTTGAAGACCTGAGGCAATGTGTTAATCTTCTATCTGGTCATTCTAAAAGGGTTTTCTTAGTTGGCTGGGCTGCGATAGGCTGGTCGTTGTGGACTACTAGGAATAAGTTCTCGATTGAGCGTATCTTTCCGGCTAACCCTGTCAACTGCTTATTTAAAGCCAACGGTTTTTTGCATCAGTGGAGATTATTGACTAAAGATGGGGACCTCCAGACTTTTGACGCCATGCTATCCAAGATGAAATCTACGGCGTCTGCTCTTCTTCGGCGATCCTTGAGGACGGCTTCCTGATTGCCTCTTTTGCGATATCTATTTAGGCTGGCCGGCGTGCCATGTGAGGCTCGTGGCCTTGTAATGCTACTTAACTTCCTTGGTGTTTAAACTCTGTTTGGGTGTTGGCTGATGGTGATGTACTCTGCCTGGTGGCTTTATCTATAAAGTCAGGCTCCTGCCTTTTCTCTAAAAAAAAGTCCCTTGAAGCTTCTCATTTCTGTGGTCCAATTCTGCTCGGTTCACTCAAAATGTAAAGCTGGATATATTTCCTCGACACACTGATTTATGTTATACTGCCAGAATTCAGGAGTCCCATAAGCAAGGAGTTTTTTTAGGGGATGCCATAAGCAAAGGGCTATGTGTATAATCGCTCAGTGTGTCTGCAAATTGTGCAAAAGATAAAACTTTCTGCTTCTAAGTGTGAGGATACTATCAGAAATAAAGCCATTTTGCAGAAAAAAAATTATATGAGAATTGGCCCTGAAATAATGAACTCACAGAGAAAATTTACCCCAATAGAATAAAAAGGAAGTACTGAGATTAAACATGCAACAACGCACCAAATTTCTGAGTAAAGCTGAAGGCGCCAAAATTATTACTTTTAATAGAATTTTATTTGGTTGTGTGTAAAACTATTTGAATTTTGAACAAAATACAGGCTACTCTTGCCGATTCCACTTTGATATCACCGCAAATTTATTCCCAAAATGCACGCCTTTGAGATGGCCTTGCATGCAATGTCGTTCCAACAATCGATCGTATGAAAAAAAAAAGAACATTCCGAAAGTACATAGAATGGGATGATGCCAAGAGGCAAATAACATTTTCTTTTTTCTTGAGACCTTCCATTTCTGATGGAACAAATTCGCAACAAAGATACCATGGCTTAACATCTCAGATACTACATGCACATCCTTGCCGTTGCAGGACTTAGGAGAACCATGGCACCACACAAAACTTCAACATCCCTCCATCTAACATATAAGTACACACCAAAGGACCTGTCAAGCCTAGCCTAGCTACAACTACAAACTAGTAGAACAAACGAAGAACAGAACAACCATATAGGATCAAACATCAGTCATGGTAGCAGAGGAGCATGACGACGCATTGCCGGATGATGTAGAGCCTGGCCGTATGTCGCCTCAACATTCTGCTGATCCCTCCTCCTGATCCGGCCCCCTTGTGCTTGCCGCCATGGCTCTTCTTCACCTTGTTCATCCTGGCTGAGCAGGACGGTGATGGTTGAGCTAGCAAGGTGGTGAGCAGGAAGGAAGGCTCCCTGCTCTGCTCATCCACTGCTGCTATACTGAGTGGATCCTCTTCCGTGGCATTGCCATGCTTATATAGGAAGGATGCGTCATGGCCAAATGGCACAAAACGACAGATTCTATGACGATGTTATCTATTCATTTAGCGCATGTATAAAAAGTTAAAAACCCGACGAGACATTGTAATAGGGTGCAGCAGATTCTATGACGCTCCAGCTAGGGACAATCGCCTAGAAAGCTGGGAAGTTGCTATGCTACAGTTAAAGACCAAGGATAACTAAACGGGCCGTGTTGTGCAGTTTCTGCAGAAGTTTTCAGAAAGAATTATTCTTGCAAAACACAGACGATGGTTAGGTAGGGTTAATTATTTAACTACAAACGCATGGCAAAAGAACGGTCATCTTTGGATATGATCACACGATGGGTTAAGGTAGTAACCTGTCATTCCTACCGATTTATGGTGTTTCAGTGTTTGCAAGTGATTACGACGCTATGCCAAGCTGATACCAATTGCACCCGACCTTTGCGATGGTATATTGTTAAGAACCAGTCAAGACATTAAGGATGCACCCAGCTATATACGTCATAATAAAGAGAAAAGAGAACAATAAATACAAGGGCATGACACCAAAGTGTCTTACGGAAATGGTCAATGGTACACAACAACAAGCATAAGCATATAGCATTACCCTTAACCGCAAAAGGACCGCAAAAATGATCTACGTACCGAGCATAAGCACAAACAACATAAAGGGACAAGGGTAAACATCCGTCATCCGCCACTACCCTTGATAAAAGAAAGACTGTGATCAAGGTTCTCTAAAAGCAACGTCGTCAGGAAAAAAATGACATGCAACTCTACCGTGATGTATCTAACCACTAAAGGCGAGATGAAGGGTTTTCACCTCGAAGAACAAGTCGGGTATGTTTCAAAGCCTTCAACTAGGAAAACGGTGTGTAACCACCACATTTCTAGGTACAAGTACCAAAGGTCAAAATTAGGATTTTCACCAGAGAGCTGAAGACACGGTACTCGGCATCGTCGAGGAGCACCCACTAAACCAAAGTCACCTGCGTTGCAGCCTCCACTATCCAACTCGGCACATCTATACCCTCCAGCCTCGAGAAAGCCGAACACGAGCCATATCTCCAGCATGGGAAGGTACGCCTTGGGAGACACCTGCTCACGCTCACAACTGTGATGTGAACACAACTATCCAAGAAACCGACACGACACAGATGGCGGATGTAAGGTCATCGGCACCGCCAAAAGGGCTCGAGGGGACATCATGTAGTTCCCCACCAGCCTCGCCGAGGCAGCCAGCGGCAGATGTGGACTCACAGCCACCAGATGGCCATCAGAGCGGCGCACTTGACTAGAAGGCGAACATGACCTCACATGTCCGTGTTCTGCTTCTGCCAGTTGCATCAACTCCATTATTACAGTTTTGTTTCTTAATGAGATAGTCCCATTTTAGAGGTTAGTATACGGCCCTTGATTTTGCTGGCTCGGCCCTCAGAGAGCCAGACAGGTTTCAGAGTTCTGCTTTGCAACAACTGGCCAAACATCCAATGCCGGTTAAATGCGGGTTGCGCCGACCTTTTGGACTAATAAAAAGAACAGCATGTTTGGGGCCAAGCCTATTTGCACTAAACTAAGGCCCTCCTAATGCTTTACCTTGTACAGGTGCTAAGCCTTTCATGTAGGTAAAAAATCTGATGTGACAAGTTATTTAAGAGGAGAGAGATGAATGTGGTGACCCCAGAAAGAAATAATGCTAAGCGTGTGAACCTAGACAAGACATTTAAAGGAAGTGAGCCCATCAATAGATGAAGAGCTTTAGTTGCTATATCATTAAATGAAGCAAGCTTAGCAACCATAAATTAAGCACATATGCATTGGGGAGTATAGTTGCTGATAAAAAGCACCCATGCATTGGCACTTTGGCAGCAGCCTAAGGTGACCAATGAAAGGCCCGGCGTTGCCTAGCCCCGGGCGACTCGGGCGCGACCGTTTCACCTAGTGCTGTCGTCGCACCTTTCTCCTCTAGTTGCTGCGCCGCCGGGCGAAGCCCGCGTGGCCGACGGCGGCGGTGGGGCGCCTTCCCGCGGTGGCCTCCGGTTTGTAGGGCAGCATCTCCGGCGGCGGGTCGGCGTGCGTCGGGACTCGTTCGGGTCCCGGTGACCGGCGGCTGCTCTCGGCGTCCTCGCGCAGGGTGCAGCGGTCACCGGCCGACCGGCGGCATGGCTGTGAGGCTGTGTCGGGGCCGGAGGCATGTGCGACGTGATGACCAGGTCCGTCTGCTTGTGTGGTGGCTGGGCTGCTACTAGGCATTGACCCTGGCCACGTCTCGGTGGAGTTAGGCCAAGGGACCATGGGTGTTGCTGTCATGCGTGATGCGGCGTCGTGGGTCTTGGCTGCCAGGCAATTCTGCTTTCCGGCTTCAGATCCGGCTACGTCGGCCCCTAGGTCGATGGCTTGGACAGAATTCTCTTCGGCAAGGTGGCAATCGACGGTGATGTGCTGCACGGTTTGGTGCGGTGGACTCTCCGGATTGCAATGGTCACTGAAAGATCTTCGCGAGGATTTCTCTCCTCAGATCGGTGGTTGCCTTTGACAGTGAGATGCAATATATGGACGACGTCTTGACGCAGAGGGTAAGGTTGTGCAGTGGCGGAGGTCGGTTTTCTAGCCCATCACATGCAGTTGCTTGGATAGCGGAAAAGTGGTGGCGACAACATATGATTGACTCCGTTGGTGGTGCTTCTAAAATACCTGGTCTTGAGCTCCGGGGTGAAAACCTAGGTCTGACACAAGTTGTTCATACATGGCAATGGCGACGCTTTGCGACGTGACCTTGTTGAAGGCATTGCTCGGATAAGCTCAGACTGGTTCTTCAGGATGAAAACCTAGAATCTGACTTTTGATGGTTGAATCCGGTGACGGCGGCATAGAAAGGCGTTGCTGTTGAGGAACCTCATTGTCCTTATGGTGTCATGAGATGGTTGCCGTATATGACTTTGGAACGCAGGTTTGTTTGATTTGAGGGTTTTTTCTCTCGTTTAGGCATAGCTTTGGTCTTATATGACTTTGCTATTTGCCAACAGGTTTTTGTGTGTGTGCATTGGTGCTGGCTGTGTGCATACTAACTATGCAGAGGCTGGGTGTGTGCTCACTGTGTTTGTATCCACTTAATGCTTCATTTTAAGTCAATAAAATCCACCCTTTGTCGAAAAAAGGTGACCAACGAATTAATCATAGCGCTCTGCAAGTGTGTTTCAGGTCGAGGCACCATCAATTCTATTGTGTGCAAGAGGGATTTTGTATTGTAAGCTAAATTTCCATTCGGTCCCGAAGATGGACAGCGCCAACGCTTGATGCCTGCCGCTGCGGGAGCTGTGAGGGTAGCGGTGCCGCGGTTTTCACATCTGTGGTTTGCAGGAAACTGCCCAGACTTCAGAGCTTCTGGTCCCCGTCCGGCCGCGCCCCGGCCACGGCCGCGACCTCCCCGCCCGGCCGCGCCCTCCCTGTTCGGCCGTGCCCCGGCCGCGTTGCCCCGCCCGGCTGCGCCCCGGCCGTGCCCCGGCCGCGCTCGTCAGGCAGTGCACCAGCCGCGCCCCCGTTTCTATCGGCGTGCCCCAGGCCGCCCCTTCTGGCTCCGCGATCTGGCTGGAGCCGCCACTCGGGGCTCCCGATTCCCCCACTCGGGGCTGGATCGGGCTAGCGTGAGGCTCTCTGCCCCGATCCAGATCCAGATCGGGGGGAGTTGACAAAAAAAATAAAAAAAAATCCGTCATGTCTTCTGCGGGCTATGTTGCTGTTCCTAGGTGCTCAGTGATCTTTGATGGCACCAACTATGCTGAATTTGTGGGGTTCATGCGCATCCATATGCGTGGTCTTCTTCTGTGGGGTGTCCTTTCTAGTGAGGTCGCCTGTCCGCCATGCCCTGTTGTGCCCGTGGCACCAATCCCACCGGTGCCGCCGGTACTTGCTGCCGAGGCTTCTCAGGCTGACCAGGATGCCGCCAAGGCCCTTGATGATGCTGCAGTTGATGCTTATGATCAGCAGGTATCTGCTTATTCTGATGCTCTTTCGGTGTACCGCGATGATCTCTCTGCTTACACTCAGTGGTGCAATGACGATGCTCGTGCTGCTGTTGTTCTCACTGCAAGTGTCCTTCCTCAGTTTGCTTCGGAGTTCATGGGACTTGGCACCGTTGCAGCGATGTGGTCTTATCTTTGTCAGCGCTATCAGCCCTCTGGTGATGCTCTCTACCTATCTGTGGTGCGTCAGGAGCACACACTCCAGCAAGGTGATTCCTCTGTTGATGAGTTCTATTCACAGTGCTCTGCCATCTGGCGTCAGCTTGACTCTCTTCGGACAGTTGTTTGTGGCACATGTCGTTGCTGTCAGACTACTCGGTCTGATCTGGAGTTTCAGCGGGTTCATGAGTTCTTATCTCGTCTCCGCTCTGAGTTTGAGCCCAGACGTGCTCACTTGCTTGCTCGTGGTCGTGTTCCAATCTCGGAAGTGCTTGCTGAGCTTCGTGCTGAGGAGACCCGCCTTCGCTCTGCTGGTTTGCTGGTGATCCCGTCTGTGTTGGCTGCTCGGGCTCCTGTGTCGTCTGCTCGGCTCACCGCTCCACCGCTCCTCCCCACACCTTCAGGGGGGTGAATCGCCCTGCGTACACTGAGAGGGGCCGGTCGCGCCGTGACACCTTCTGTGGTTACTGCTCTCGGCCCGGTCACCCAGAGTCTGATTGCCGTGAGAAGAAGCAAGACCAGCGGCGCTCCTCTTCCAGTGGGACTCCTGGATCTTCCTCGATTCCGTCACTCACTGACCAGGACATTGTTCGCCTCAAGCGCCTCCTTGCTTCCTCAGGCTCTACGTCGACTGGTTCAGCTGCTGCTGTGACTGCAGCCCCTTCTCCACCACCGCAGGCATCTACACAGTCAGGTACATCTTCGTGGGTTTTGGATTCTGGAGCCTCCTTCCACATGTCTTCTGATTCTTCTGTGTTGTCTTCTCTCCGACCTCTTGATTTGCCTGTCAATGTTCTTACCGCCGATGGCACACCTCTTCCTGTTGCTAGTCGTGGTATTCTTTCCACTCCATCTTTTTCTGTTTCGAGTGTTTCACATGTTCCTCGCCTTACCATGAATCTTTTTTCTGCTGCCCAACTTACTGATTCTGGTAGTCGTGTCATTCTTTACACCGACTCTTGCTCCATTCAGGATCGTCGCACCAAAGCTTTGGTTGGTGCTGGCCCCCGGCGCCGTGAGTCAGAGGGCCTTTGGGAAGTTGACTGACTTTGTGTTCCTTCCGCTGCCACCACCTCTGCCAGCTCCCATGCTCTTGCTGCCTCTTCGTCTGCGTCCTTCCAGCAGTGGCATCATCGACTTGGCCACATCTGTGGCTCTCGTTTATCTTCCTTAGTGCGTCAGGGTCTCTTAGGGTCTGTATCTGGAGATGTCTCCTTACATTGTAATGGTTGCAGACTTGGCAAACAGACTCAGTTACCTTATCCTACTAGTGAGTCAGTATCTTAGCATCTGTTTGACTTAGTTCATTCTGATGTCTGGGGTCCTGCTCCCTTTGATTCGAAAGGTGGTCATCGCTACTATGTTTTGTTTATTGATGATTTCTCTCGCTACACTTGGCTCTACTTCATGAAATCTCGTAGCGAGGTTTTCTATATACAAACATTTTGCTGCCATGGTTCACACCCAGTTTGCCACGTCCATTCGTACTTTTCGTGCTGACTCTGCTGGGGAGTATATCTCTCAGCTGTTGCGTGGTTTTCTAGCGGAACAGGGTACTCTTGCCCAGTTCTCATGTCCTGGGGCTCATGCTCAGAATGGCGTTGCCGAACGCAAGCATCGTCATTTGCTTGAGACGGCTCGTGCGCTAATGATTGCTGCTTCCCTTCCACCCGATTTTTGGGATGAGGCTGTTTCCGCATCCACCTATCTCATCAACATTCAGCCATCGACTACTCTTCAGGGTGGTATTCCTATGGAGTGTCTCACTGGTCGCTCTCCCGACTAATCCGCTCTTCGTATGTTTGGATGTGTATGCTATGTTCTTCTTGCCCCCCGAGAACGCACCAAACTGACTGCTTAGTCGGTTGAGTGTGTCTTCCTTGGCTACAGCGATGAGCACAAGGGCTATCGATGTTGGGATCCTGTAGGTCGTCGCTTGCGCATCTCGCGTGATGTGACCTTTGATGAGTCTCGTTCCTACTACCCACGTTCTTCTTCCTCGAGTTTCTCTGTCGATGACCTTGCTTTCCTTCTCCTTCCCGATACACCCCGCTATGTGCCTCCTGTGTCATCTCTTCCTCTGGCACCTCTCCTCC